GGCGCGAGCGTGCGGGTGGGCGACGGCGATAATGGACACTGCCCTGTCTGAGAACACATCCGTGTCCTTGATGCTGAATCCTAATTCTTCCTGCCGGACTTCCGACTTCTGAGAGCTTCGACTGGATTGCCGTCAAGGAATGGGTAAGTTACTATTCTAAGGACGCCATATTATTGACTATGTGCCCGTATTATGTTGGCCTAATTTAATTTTCTTAACAGCAACCCAATTGAATGTGCTCCAGATCCTGAGCCCTTAAGCCCTGAACATGGGGACCAAGCCGGGCGTAGTGTCAACCCCAAACTCTAAACCCCCAGCGCGTGAGTTCCTATGCCCTCAGGTTGAAGAAAGAGAGCTACAAGATCACCGGCGATCCCAAGAAACCAGATGGCTCGGGTGCTCAGCTTCCCAATGCCTCAATCAATTTGCACTCGTGTTCGTAATATAGTCCGTAGCCATAATCATCTAAATATTGATACTTAGGTTTCTACATGGAGCCTCTGCGCGGTGAATCTGCATCATAACTTGTGCACGTAATAGCAATAGCAAGCATGGGGCTATGTGGTGCTAGGCAGGACGTGCCGGACAAGGTGCAGGTGTGGCTTCTGTAGACTTAAGTTGGAACAGTAGAGTCACCCAAGCAGACCAGAAACACATCCAGCTTGAACCCCAGCCCCCCTGGACTCAGATCCTGCACATCTGAGGATGACCAGCTCATTTGCGAACCTGAATTCTGGGCGGACAGCGCAAGTTTCCACAGTTGTTATTTTCGACATGACTGACTACATAGGATTTCTATTGAGGGCGCTCTTACATGAACCTAAATGGGGCTGACAAAAGTTCCCAATCGCGGAAACCCTCCGAATCCCTAGGACAGAAGCCTGAATCCCAAACCTTCTCACCCGAACCCACAGCGCACAGGGGCTCCGAACTCCTTTGTCAAGATGACTTGCTCGAGAGCCAACTTTCGAGCGGCTGGGTGGAAGGCCCCTCGGAAAACAGGAATTTGGGAACTTGGGGGTTTGGGAGGGTCAAGTTGTTTGAGGATGTAGGCTTGAAGATTTTGCGAGCTTCAGCATGGGCTTCTGGGTCCCGGATTTAGGGTTGAGGGTGGGTTTGGGAGTATAGGGTTCGGCCTCTAGGGCTAGACTGGTTCAGGGTTCAGGGGCTTAAAGGTTTCGGAGTTTGGGCGCATGGACGTAAAGGGGTTTGGCAGGGGTTAGTGGTTGAGGGTGTGGTTGGGGTTCAGAGTTTGGTTGCGTCCTGCCTGGTCTGTTGAGGAGATTAAATACTCCCATTATCTGGTACATTAAATATTATAATACATTCGAGTATTTAATATTGGGGGGGGGGTTTGATATTAGGGGGAGGGGAGTACTTGGGGTTAGGAATCTAAGGGGCGCCTGGTATGGTCTGGGCCCGGGATCCTGGGGTCCCTTATGCCTAGTATATACCCTTCCTGCCCTGAAGGGCTACGGGCCTGTATTTCCAACCTGAACCGCCCTGACCTGCAAACCCCCAGCTGATTGTGATGCTGCTGCAGGATGAAGATTTCGTGAAACCTGTGATCACGATCGCTGCCCCGTGCCCAACAGTTGAATTGGATATGGGTTAGGCTCCGTGCTTGGGGATGCATTGGGAATCCTACAGATTCTGAGAAGTACGGAATGCTTGGGGTTTTCAGGGGTAGGTTTGAACATGCTTCTGATTCTTATTATATTCTAATTAACATGTAACCTCTATAGAATCCGTAAGCCACAAACCTTGGAATTTCTATAGGGCCCCCAAACCTACCCTGGTTTACGGTTGCCTTAAGTTGGCTGGTCCTTGTTGGCCGTCCAAATCAGGGCGATCCTAATGTTTCCTTACTAGTTCTTAGTAGTAAATACTGGAATATGCTCCCCATAGAATACCCAAATAAATTTTCCCACATTTCCTACTAACCTCTTTAGCAACCTAGGAGGCCATTTCAATTTGCAGAGTCCTTGGTCTGGGCCCTAAACCCTAAACCCGAACCTTAAACCCTAAACCCTAAACCTTAAACCCTAAACCCTAAACCCTAAACCCCAAACCCTAAACCCTAAACCCTAAACCCTTAAACCCTAAAGTGAGCATTCATCCCTCCGCCTTCCTCTGGCCACCGGTATTGCTTACTGGGGATGAGTAGGGAGGAAGGGATCATATTTTTTGAGCCACTGTCTAAGCTCCTTAAAGGGGGTTATATAGGGGACTCCTGTAGGGGTTATTAAGGGGGATACTACGAGTGTAGACCATAGAGATTTTGGGGATTACATTTTTTACTTGAGATTAGTAGGGAATAGGGAAAGAGATTATATAGAGAATATCTTCCCTTCTTCCCTATTTAACCCCCAGTAATTTAGTTTCTACGTGCAAACTACTTGTCACAGTAAGTGTTTGTTGTTGGGGGATTTTTCAAGCAAGAGGTGGTGATCCTTGGGGTGCTCATGATGAGCCGCCTCGCACTTCCATCAAACGAGTCGCTAATAGATCAGAGCAGCTGCCAGGACAGGTTTCTAGCTGAGAGCTCTAAATGTTAGTTTCCCAAAATAAGGGAACCCCAATATTGACCCCCAAATACTATGATGCTTCTTATGGGGACCCCCAAAATGGTACTCCTAATTTTGAGAAACACCCAAATCTGCGGCGCAGGTACAGCAACAGCATGCCTTGTAACAACCAGGCGCCGGGAGAGTCCCGCGATGAGGGTCTGCAGATCAAGTCTTAAGCTCAGGCGACTGCTCATGAGCCTGACTTACTAAGGCTGCTAAGGTTTTTGCAAGATGGCATTGTCAAGGCTACCTCGCACAGTATCACTAGAAGGGGTCATCCAATCCATGATGACGACTAGCGCGTCCAGAAGGTTCTTTTTCAAATCACGGATGGTGGCATACCTTCCTCAGTGATGTCTTGTGCTTATATAGGTCCCAGCATCTGTTTTGGCCTCTTTACTATTCTAGTTGCTCGGTTCTAAGGCAGCTTTCCCATCCTCTACCCTGAAACTCCACGCTCAAACCTTTTACCCTGGACCCCAAGCAACAATAGTAACAATAAGAATAGCAACAATGATAACAACTATAATGACAATGAGAAGAAAATAGCAATCGTACTACCTTGAAATGTTTTTGAAGCCCAAAGCCCCAGACCTTATTCTAGGGAAGGCAGGATGGAGTGGTAATCACATAGTAGGATTTGGGTTGAGGGTTTTTTGAAAGAACCCCAAATCCTAAACCTTAAACCCCAAATCCCCCTAAATCTGCCCCCAACCCCGGCCACTGAGGACGACGCCAAACGCCCCAACCAGCCAAGATCACCCCCAAATCCCCCCCAACCCCAGACTGCCTCACCCCGCTTTCCCCCCCTTCCATCCCCAAAAACTTAGGGCCTTAGGGTTTAGGGTTTAGGGCCTAAACCCCATCCCCAGTAGCTTGGGCAGTTCCGGGACCTGGCTGACATCCTGGCGGAAGAGGCCCAGGGCCAAGCAACCACTATGAAATGCTAATGGAGGTTTAGGTTGGGGATTGTTATGGTGATTGGGTTTAGGAGTTTATGGCTCAGAGTTAGGAGAGTTGGATTTTGATGTATAGGGTTCAGGTTTTCGTGCATGGAAGTTCAGGCACCGTAGGCTACTCATGCACACAGGGAGAGGTGTGGGCTTCAGACGACCTCCGTTCGAACTTTGGGCTTGGGCCTTGTTTGTGTGGCCCGCGTCATATTTCACCTAGGATTCTGTGGTAAAAAGCTTGGTGTTGCGTGTGCGAAAGCTAGGCAAGCATATATCGATAGACATACGCTTTCGTATGTGCCATGTCCTTTGGGTTGTACAAGGAATCCGAACATCAGGTAGGAAGCCAGTTGCAGGGGAGGGTATGGCGACGGTTTGCTCTACACCCAGCTTTGCACACATTCACTCGCCCGAGACCTACACCCTAAGCACCAGCAAGTTAAGTGACCCTGGCAGCTACCCTCCTGCAAACGACTGTGTACCCCCATACATGCTCCGTTGATAAGGACAGGAGTCTTTACAAGCTTTATGCTAGATTGGGGAAGGGTACTGGGCCCCAAACCCATGTACCCCAAAATGATCACTATGCAGCCCCTTTTGAAGGGTGCATGTTGATTTGAGTAGTATTTTTTTGGGGATACTATGGTACTCACCGATCTTGCAATCAAGCGTCGCTCCATCCCAAAAACTTCCTTCTTGACAAACTCCAAGCATGTCGAAAGATCATAGATGATCTTGCAAGCATTATCGCCCGACTATAACTATTTTAGATTATTCGCTATTTGAGGAGCCAAAGTGCTCAGCGCTTGATTCCCATGACCGACTGATGTCCGTGAATACTATGGTACCCAATGTAGAGTAAGATTACATCCTCCTTTTGGGGTATAGTAGTTTATATAAGGAATATTATCTTACTGGATTTAACCACAAAAAGAAAGCGCTACTCATTTGGGGAAGGGTAGAGCCCGAGCTCGTGAAACCGTATGCCTAAACCTTGAACCGAGACCTTAGTATGCCAGAATGCCATTCTTTTCCAAGGCATGACATACGGAGGGTCATGCAGAATGTTTAGCATCAACAGTCACAGCCTTAAGAGACGCTGTATGCAAGTGTGTTTAGGGTTCAGGGTTAAGCCCTACTCTACTTCTTGAGGCCCTGTCAGCTGGCGCCTTAGAAGAACCCTAAACCCGCAGCCTCAAACCCTTAATGCCAATCCCAAAACCTCAAACCCAAGAGACCCTAGCCTTAAATTCAGCCCAGACAACCCCAAACCCTAAAACTAGTGCCTAAAACCCCATACCTGAATCTGTGAACCAGGTTCTAGCTCCTCAAACTCCGATATACGAGTTTCTACAAAATGTGGCGCACCTTCCCTATCCTGCCCAACAATCAACCCTAAGCCCTAAACTCTAAACCCCAAACCCTAAGCCTTAAAATCCCCTCTTACTAAGCCACAGTGCCATGGTCAGCGCGTGCCATGGCTGATGCCGAAGGCTCCTGGGCAGAGCTGAAACGAGGCGCGTAATCTAGGAGCTATAAAGATGAGTTTAGGGGTTAGGGTTTGAGGTTTAGGGTTTAGAGTTTAGGGTTTAGGATCTAGGGTGTAGGGTCTGGGCTTTAAGGGTTAGGTTTCAGGTGAACCCACACCCTGTAATAGTGACTATAAGTGATAATGGTGAGTATATTAGGGTCCGCTTCGCTTGAATTCCATATCCTCACATACCACTATTACAGAGTGGGGGGTCCACCTACGGTTTAGGGTTAGGTTTAGCGCTTGGAATTTAGGGTTTGGGGTTTGGGGTAAGGGCTTAAAGAATTTTAATAGTAGAGAGTTCATAAGAGAGCTGCAAGGGATGAGATGTAGAAGCCTAAAAAATCGAATAGGTTTTTGACTTAGTATACTCTAGTATGTACATGTTAGTACTAACCATTAGGAGATTAAGCCTTAACAGTAAGCTGCCCTAAACTCCCAACCCTAAACCCTAAACCTGGTGCGAGGGGCAGCTAGGGGGATGAGGGTATAGCCGTTAGGGCTCTCAAAAAAAGGGGTTAGTAGGGACCTTAAGGATGCATACGGATTTTCTGGGGAATCCAGTGATTCCCTTGTACATTTTTTTCAACCAATCTCATTTGTTTAGCGCAGCGTGAAGGGCGTATTTAGGCTTGGAGTCAGGGTCTAGGGTATATTTGATGTTTGAGATACAGGCATTAAGGTACCTTCGCCCAGGCTTGCCATCACAACGGTGGGAGACAGCTATGTGGATTACGGTTTAGGGTTTTGTGTAAGGATTTCAGAATCCAAGTCTTAGGAAATCAGTAAGCGGAAGCTGTGTAAGTCCTGGTGTGCAGCCTCCAAAGCCCTGAACATCTTGGGGTTCAATCCCTTGACAACACAGCTTTCGACCCACAAAGACATCATTGCGACCTCCAACTTGTTTGTCAGAAGAGATTTCAAAGAGCCCTCACACAAGGCAGACATCCTGAAACAGACTCGTTCTTGGGTCTTCCCGTGTAGGCCCCTGGGATCTACCTGAGCAGAGCTTTAAATGGCCTTCTATAGTCCCCCAATATTGCGTAAGATCCTAGCACCCATGGGATATAGCACTTTACAAGAAGGATCTCATCTTGCTTGGTTTGAAATCTCCTCACTTGCGTTTGTGTCCAGGCCTGGGCATTGACAGCGGTGATTCTTTGGCTCCATGGCTGCAATGGAGTCCAGGGAGCCGCTTACGGTAGTTAGTAGGGAATGATTGAAGGGAAGTTGGAAGGAACAAAGGAAATGTAGGGATTATCACGAAAGCTAGCTCCTTGGAGCTTGCGAGAGTTTCTGTTTACCAATATTGTCTCCTGGGCTATGGAGAAATCTGGGACCACTT